TGTGCTGTAATGAAAAATGTAAATCTAACTTTACTACTGTGTGGTCTTTGTAAACTGATTTTTAGAAATGCATAAAGTATGATACAGTAAAGCTCATACAGAGAAGTGAAGCTGTTAACATTTATAAGACCAGCAAATCCTTTATTTTTCATTTTGCGCACAATAAGAACAAGACATATTGTCTTTATGCACCGGTCAGAAGACATACAAAGCATGTTTGTGTGTTGCTGCTGTCTTCAGAATGATGAGTATGCCGGACTATAGTTTAAATTCCATTGTTTCTGAATCCTTAAAAAGTGCTGGTAGGTTAGAAGATCCTAATTCGCAGATGGTCCGCTTTTGTGAGAAAGCTGTTTTGTTTCCCCTAGCAGTGTGTTTGTGTTTTCTTTTTTCAGATTGCTTCAGAGCAAACCAGAGGGCTGGCAACGAAGGCCTCTGTCCCTGAGAACAGTCTGCTGAAAAACATAGACTTTAATGAGAAGTTCTGGGAGAAGAAAATATTACAGAGAGTAAGGATGTTGTTGTTATTGTTGTTGTTGTTGTTGTTGTTGTTGTTGTTTTTGTTGTTGTTATTATTATTGTTATTATTGTTATTATTATTATTATTATTATTATATTTGGTCTCCTCTCAAAAACAGCAGAGTTTGAAAACTGGTCTGAAGATTTAGTTAATTTGACCTTCAACTAATTACTACTTAAAGTGATAATCTACAGTAAAGGTTGTTGGAATAGATGTCTCCAATTTTGCTAGCTCTAACTAAGAATTTACCCTTTTCATAGCCTATGACCTGCCCCAGCGGCCCAATGAAGCTCACATCTTCTATGGAAACATGAGTAAGATAGTGGTGTCGTTGCTGGGAAGTACAAAGAGCACAGACTGTGAGCAGAGCGACCACACTGAGCTGCTGCTGCCCTCTGCAAGACACAGTTCAGAGGCCGACAGGTACTGTCAGAAATATTTCTAGCTCACTGTAATATACTAGGACCTGGTTCATCGAAATGCCAGCCTTCTGAATACGCACAACACAACAGATACATTTAATACAAACCGATATACAAAAATCAATTGCTAAACAGTATTTATCAGTATTGTAGTCAGTTATATGATTATGTTTGTTTTTAGTGTACATTCAACTTAATACTACATATGCACTCAGTAAAAGCTATACTGTTAGACTAGGTCTGTACGTTTTTTTTATTTTTTATTATAGTGAACACATTTTGTTTATTTGTCTGCGTAAGTCAACACAATGTACGGTTTAATGTTATTGTGTAATTCCCAGTGGTTTGCCAAATGGCAACGTGTCTCTGGACGTGCTTCCAGTGAAAGGTCCCCAAGGTCCAGCACTAAGAGTAACAGAGCCCTCCTTAAAGGTACCATAAGCACTTTTTAATGGACTTCCAATGGTTTCTTGTGTTGACTGATGATATTAGGCTTTATTATATTGGTGTTGTTTCAGCATGAGATGAAAACATTTGTTTCACTGCATTTGACATTAAAAGATATTCATTTTTCAATGCAGAATGTCTGTTTTTTTTTCCCCCCAGGCGTCAGAGCCATTACACAGGCATTCTGAGTCCTGGACAGTCCATCCAGAACAACTTGTCCTTGCAGCTCCCACCATCAGTGAGTAGAATATAGATTTCAAAAGCACATTATGTGAACTTTTATCACCTTAAAGTTGAATTCAATTGCAGAGTTTCAGTATGGTTGTTGTAAGCGATCACCTCCAAACCATAAGTGAATAACTTCAGTAGCCAGCAGTCCACATGATGTTGTTGTTGTTGCTGTTTTTAGATGGTACAGCCACCACCAGTCAGGCTAAGATCCGGAACAATACATCCAGAGAGCTGAGCTTTGATTTGTCCTGGCCTGCTCACTGCCTTACCATCACCCCTCAGCATGGAGTTATCGAGCCTCAGTAAGAATACACTTGGTTGTTCAATGAAATATATTGGCTAAAGTCACAGTTTTTGGGTTAGAATTAGACCCCACGTTGTTTGTTGGATGTCTTTCTGTGTATTGTTCTGGTTTTATTTGCAGTTTCCAGACTCTGTAAATGATAATACCACAACCTCAAAATAACTGTAGTGTTTACAACGAGTGTCATCATAGCTTTATTAAAAGAACAATTACAGGAAGAAGGTCCATCATAATTGATGTGACTGAGTATATATGTGATTTTAATTATTCCACTTATTTCTTAATTATTGTTAACCAAGGTGCCACCTGCAGATTTTGATCAGTCCCAACCCTTCACTAGCAACTAAATCTGCCTTGCTGCCATGGAGTGGACAGATATATGTCCAGTGTGACGGTCAGCAGAAGGTATGAAACACTCTAACTTCTCTAAAGGGTTTGAAAAAAAGCTTCTTGTCCAGTCATGAACCTTGTGTTGTGAGAACTAAACAAGAGCTCAACATGTGCAATGTGATTACTGCTCCAGTTTATTAAGGTCCAGATTCGTCGGGACCTGGCTCTGGATGTGTCCGCGTCCCCAGCAGACACGACCCTGTCAGCCCTGTCCCCGCAGGTTGCCACCCCGGTGCTTCCTGTGGCCAGGCTCACCACCAAGCCCTCGCTACTACCGCAGACCCCACAGACCCCACAGGCACCTCAGGCCCTGGTGGTGATCAGCAACAAGACAATCATGTTCCCCACCACTGCCTCAGGGGAAACGTCAGGTAGGGAGCTGACTGTCCAGAGCATAGAAGTTGCTCCCAGTACATGAAGTCTGAGTGTTAGTGAAAAAATATTTCCTACCTGTTGGGGTTTTAAGTCAGCGCCTGTAGGCTGAAACTTGCTTTTCTCTCCTCTGCTTCAGAGGCCCAGCTGGAGGTGCAGAATGGGGAAGTAGAAGTGAGGTGGTACCTGTCATCATTTGCCCCTCCTTATGTCAAGGTGCCTTTTCTTTCTTTTGTCAACTCTTTCATTCCAGTTTACGTTTCTTTATTATCCCTCCTCTGGGAACAAATGTTTTCGTTTATTTTGTGATTTATTCCCAGTTTCTTTTGAATTTAGTTTATCTTAGTGTGTAAGTGAAGCTACATTTTTGTCCTGTCTCATGATTCACTCAGTAATGAGTTTATTTTGTAGGTTCACACTCCTGATGTTGTTGATTTAATCTTGTTGATCGGTCTTGATGCTGGCTGTTGTGTGATAGCAGTGACTCAGGTCAAGCTGTGGTCCCTTCTCTCTTTCTCTCTCTCTCTCTTCAGGGGGTTGACAACACTGGAGATGTGTACCGGGCCACTTACACTGCTTTCAGATGCTCCAGGGTCTCAGGCACTCTGGGAGCCCATGAGAAGATGCAGGTAGGAGCTCACATCCAACTAGACGAGTCAGTAATGGGAGCAATCGTTCCATTTAGGTGTGGCAGTTAGTCAGGCCAGTGAGACTGCATACACAGTTACAGGGATGGTTGCAGCTGATTGCAATCATTTTTGCACAATCGTTAGATTCCACAATAGAGGGAATTTAATCACATGTTAGAAATGTTGCAACAAATAGAATGTGAATAAGGTGAGTTTCCAGCAGCTGGGTAGAGATAAATTAATGGTCTACCTGAGCACAATGTTCTTGTTTAAGTTAAAAAAAAATCTTTAAAAAAAAAAACATGGGGAAAAGAGCTTGGCTGTCTAGACCATTATTTGAGACCCAACTTTTATGTGAGAAAATACAGTATCAGGCCTATACTGGTGGCACAAAATAAACAGAAAATACAATGAAATCATTAATTGCAATTATTTGTATGACCATTAATCCTCAACTATAGTTTCATCCCTAGCAGAGCCCTGGATATGGTATATCTAATAGAATGCAGCCATTATTATAATTGATGAGTCTATAGTTGAGCTATATCCACTGTTTATTACACTTGAAAACCCTGCAGCAGTAAAACTGTTCTGAGTTAGTTGGTTGACCTCTGAAAACATCTATGAGCATGACGTGCATTTACACGGTTAATTACGTTCCGATTGTTTCGTCTCATGTTTTTCTTGCTCTTCTAGGTGCCCATTACTTTCCTGCCCAGGGACAGAGGGGACTATGCCCAGTTCTGGGACTTGGAGTGCCACCCCGTGTCTGAGCCGCAGCAGAAAACCAGAATCCGCTTCCAGCTCTGTGGCACCGTGAGGACTCATTTATTAGTTCTGTTGCCTGGGATTCAAACACCATACTGAGAGCAATTGTGCTTCTGTAGTGCAGGAGATACACTGGACACATGTTACAATTTACTGTCAAAACCACTTTGTAACATTTACTTTACTTGAGACTGCTACTGCCTTGTTTTTTTTATTGTTGGTGTCTTATACTCACATCCCATAACTGATTACTAAAGTACTTATCTTATAATATAATTCTCAGTTGTGTTATACTCCTCCTACTCCTCCTTTGCTCTCTTTAACTTTGTTTTACGTATTTATATTAGCCAAACTTTGATCTACCATCTTTATCAGACTAATTATGTGCATCAAGCAGTTATATACAGTCACTAATGAACTTGTTTCACTCTCAAACCAAACCATGTTTACATGACCATTGCTCACTGGGGGCAATGCTCACTTTAAAGCATCAGCATTCGAAAACCCCCAGCCCGTATGACAGTAGTAGTATGACTATAGCTTTGGAGTGTTGGTGACAGAATTAACAAATGAGAAAAGTGGGTTGTGGGATGGTAAGGAGAGCCACCCTGCTGAGATGGGCCTGCGGGCTTTGCGTGTGTGCCGCTTTAATGTGAAATGTTATGACAGACCCAGTTAACTTAAGAGCATACATACACAGCAAGTGGGATGTCAGATAGATGGCTCCACATAAGTAGGTTAAGTGGCTATGATGGTAGTGCTTCTGTTGTTGTTGCCTTACTTCTTAGATGTAGTGTTAAAGTGGAGTGCCAAACCCTTCAGTGGTGTTAAATACTAATATGTGGCTCCAATTTGCAAAACTTTGATTTAGATATGTCCCTGACAGTCTGGTGTGTGATATGTTTCACATTTAGTTTTCATTATGTCTGCCTGTGATTGCAATTAGTATCAGATTTTATGTGTCACCATCAGTAACGCAGTCTAATCGTTTGGGCATGATATACTTGAAAGATGGTGGAGGTTATTTCTTCTCAGTTGTATTGTACTAACTAGCAGCTTTGTAGTCGTACAGAGATGTTATGCAGCCATGTTTGGTTGCTCTTAGGAGCTTACTAGCCAAGATCCTAAAGTTCTGTCTGCGTGTTTAAAGGGATTAAAGTCTGGACCAGTGGAAGGACCACAGGAAGGAGACTGCTCTCTGGTGAAGACAGAGCCCACAGTCAAGACCAGGAAGAGAACTGATGCCTCAGCAGGCAAAACCAGGTGAGCCTGCTTAGCTGAAACTAATAATATGAACCTGACCAGGATCTCTATGGTAAAACACTGTGGAAATACAGCCCACATCAAGACATCTTGAGCAAATGAAAAAAAAGCTCAGTTTGGGTGCCCTGGTGGACTAGAGATTTAAGACACCGTCAATGAACCACATCAGCCAGCCAGGGGTGTCGTTCTCCATCTCTTTCTTTGCCCTTGTTTCCTGTCAAGTTCAATTTGTTAGACACACAATAAATGGATGGTTATAGAATCTGCTGCGTTTTGGTTTGCTTTAGTCCTTGTGAGGGGCCATTTTTTGTCAATTCAGTCATGTTTTGATTTGTGTCACTATTTTAAATCAACATTCTTTAATAGACTCAGAAAATGACTGAGTTTAATGTACTGCAGGTTATGTTTTTAGAATAGGTGTCTCATATGATTGTGTTATACCTCCCTGTTAAAACTGGCATAATTTGTAATTCACAGCCAGGAGGAGGCTGTGCGGAGGGGTGTGTATTCTCCACAGGATCTCTACACCTTCCCAGCCACACGGGTGGGTGAGTCCAGCACTCTGAAGGTCAACATCCGCAACAACTCGTCCGACACGCATGAGGTGAGGCATGCGTTATCTTCATGAAGACATGCGAGGGATTTTCTTTTTTTTTTCTCGTTTACTGCAGCAGAAACTGAAATCCAGAATTCTGAATATGCAGCACTGTCTATTCCAGCTATCGGAGTTAAAGCAAGAAAGTTCTATATTGCTAATAGAAATTGCATGACTGACTTGATTTCATTTGTACTGTATATAAATGGAATAACAACCCCTAACAATTGTCACTGTGCTTTGCATGGATTTGATATTTGATGTGTGGCTTCTCTAATTGACTTGCAGCTGAAATTTGTAAACCCTAGGGAGCCCTTCCACATCAAGCATTCCAAATATTCCCTGAGGTGAGTCCAATGGTTATTATCCCTGACAGAAACTCTCATTTCTGCACATTTCATAGTAGCTGGGGGACACATTGGGAATCAGTTTTATAATCTTTATAATTAGTGCCTACCTCTGTTAGTGTTTACTTGTTACTTCAGGGTTTTAATTTTCTACTGTAAGAGATGGTTCTACACAGATTTCTGTCATTAAAGTAGTTAGGTTTAATGTTTAGTCAGGACCTCAAAGCATGCTCTATGATAACTGTAATGTCATTTTCCCATTGCGCATGCTCACTATGGGAGGTCCCGTGAGATGCTGGGACCTGGAGGATGATGTTACTATGTGGTACACACTTGAGGTCTCAAGGAGTACTGATGTTTTGCCCAACTAAAGCCTTAGGGAGGAGGTTGCCAGGTCACAGGTACCAGCTGTGCTGTGCTCTGCCGATGGGACAGTGTTCCGAAGGGTCACAACATGTGTTTTGTATCGTTGAAATAGGGTAAACAATGGAACGGAATCCAAATTTAAATGTATGTACTTCCTCTACAAAACTAAAGCATTGTCAGACATACAGCTGAATGTCGTGACCTTTTTATCTGCAACGTTGCCATGTGTTGCCACAACCTGAACCTGACCCAGCCCTACAGTAGGTGTGTTGTGAGCCCGACAGTGTGTGTGGGTTTGTGGTAGCCTTGTGGTGACCCCAGCATGTTGTTGGCTCTCATCATGTACTCTCATATCCACCACATCCACACCGAACATACCTGTGCTGCTCCATTTATTGTCTGTTCATTATGCTGGAACATTTGTGCACATGGATTAGCATTGATGATCCGTACAGTATTTTATGGTTATTGTTTTTGTCGTAGTGTATTAGGTCATGATTCATATTATGCAATCCTCTGTACTTCATTTTATGTGAACATTTGTGCAGATTTGTGCTGGTGCATGTGCTCTAACATTTCATATGAAATAATTAGTGATCTCTTTATTAACTGTCGATTAACAGTCATTTTTCTTCCCCACCCATTAGATCCCAGCACTATCTGAAGCTTCCCGTCCAGTTCAAGCCCAGCACTGCAGGCAGACACGCTGGCTTGCTGCTCATCCAGTCAGAAACAAGTGGAAGTCTTGTTATTCAGCTGACCGCTGAGGCATTGCCTTGAATACACCATCTAGCATCCTACGCCACCTCCTCACGCTGGCTGGCTGGCTTTGGGTGGATGCTCTTCTCTTTACTATTCATCATGGGACAGACGAGAGTTAACAGAGAAGAAAAGGCAAGACTGCAAACTGCTAAGGATCAAATAAAAGGCAACCCTGGGCTTAAATCCGTCCTCTGGTCTTATTTGGAGACTATAGCTGATTAACTGGAGATGACTGAGACTCTACTGCCAACACAGCCCTGTCTGCCTCTGGATGTGGCACAGGTGTCCTCAGCTGGCCCATGAAAAATGATTGTGCCCGTTTGTGCCCAAAGCTGAATGATTTGGTCTGACTGGCTCACAATTAGTCTGGCCCACTTTGGCATTTCAGAGAGCTAATGATTTTTGTCACTTGACTCTGGATCTGGTATTTGCTTTATCCCTGAGTCATGTCACAAGGCAGCATTGTTGTTGCCATGGCCCCTGTCAGACAGTACCAGTTGGGATACGTTGAGGATTACTTTGAGTCGGTCACACAGGAATGCCATTGTCTCTTGTTTGGTAATATGGCTGTGGGGAATTTCTTTCTTTTTTTTTTCTTTTTTTTTTTTTTCTTCTGCTTTTTTTTTTTTTTTTTTGTAAAAATGTAAAAATCACAAAATGGTCCTGGACATAGTTTTTCTTTTTTCTTTTTTTAAGATCAAGACCACAAGATTTAAGAATTGTTTTTTTTTTTTGTTTTGTTTTGGTTTTTTTTTTTAAATCACAAATTCAGATTCTCAAATCAAGGTCTGTCCACATTTCATAAAATGTTCCTAATCTTCTGTACTGGTGTGGTTTCTATGGAAATGGCTCCTCATCATGCAGAGCCCAGCTGCACAGTGGCCTTTGTCAGCACCATGTGTTGACTTCCCAGCAACCTCCAAGACTCGTTCCAAACAGTCCAGATGTACTTAATTTAGTCATGATCAGGGCAGCTCACAGCAACATTAGGATGGTTAATGATTGTTATTACATGCTAAAAGAGTTTACTCTGGTGGGGTTTTCGTTCGGCAGCTTGCCAGGCCTGCTCAGTATGGTTACCATGGCAAAACAGTGTTAATCACTGTTCCAGTCACAGAAAATTAGCTCCCCATTTCCTCTTTTGGCTCTGGGGCAAATGGCCAAAATTGCTTGGGGGTATTGGATTCACATCCATAATGGGTTTTGGAACTGGAATGGCATGGGGAAATGTAGGTACACTTCATCAGGGGTGTGTTGTTAAGCTGTTAGATGCCACACATTGGCACACTTTGGAAATAAAAAAAACACTAGTTTTGAGCATTATGTTCCTGCTTGTAGAGCAAGTTTTAATATGAAGGCATATTGTCACGGGCTGCTCAACATGCCCTGAGAGCTATCCTGATGTTTGGTTTACAATTTGCACATGCTTAAAAAAGTATATAATGTAATATATTGTTCTATGTACACATTTTAAATAAAGTTTTGTGACAAATACTCTTCCTGCTTTCTTTAATTAGTTGAATTTGCTGTCAGAGGAGAAGTTAAATGATTTCTGAAAAAAATGGTACTCTTTCTGTTTGTCTCTTCCTGTTTACCTTCCTAGCTCTGAATGGGAATCCGTTTGTTGTGATGTGTTAGTGAGATAGATCCAGGGCCTTAGTATTACTTCATTCTGTTCATATTCACCTAACTAGGATCACTAAAGGGAATGTAGCTGCACACCAATAGATTATGTATTTTGTTATTTTTCCATTCATTTAAAAAAGGGATTTTTACAGGATCAAATTAAAGATCTAATTAAGAGCAGTTTAGTCTTTGGCACAGATACTATAAACTATAAAAGCAACAAGTAAACATTTAGACAAGCATTTAAACTTACAGAACTGTAAATAAAATAATACAGCAGGGCATCAAAGCAGTATTAAATACAGTGCTGGTGGCATGCATGATAGCCTGCAGCATACATTTACTGACAATAACATCAAGTTAGAATAACCATGCACCTGTACTGTCTCATGATGTCCATCCAGCTTCAAAACATGACTGCAGTGTAGATGGCACAGCAGGCACACACTGTTCAATGTGTTCCATCCTAGACAGAATCAGGTTTATTGCCAGAAGGCTTTTCACATATAAGGAGTTTGCCTTGGTCTGTTGGAGCACAATATAATAGAAAAATAGAAAGATGAAAGCAAGCTCTGCAAGTCCGGAAGCATAAATACAAAAAATAGGAAATTGACATGAACAAATATATAGACAATATTTACAATATGACAGTTGTTTTAAATGTTAGATTTGTAAGCAGTAATAAAGAATATTTGCAATGTGCAAGATCACTTTACTACCTAAAGTTGATGTAATGTGTAGAGGGTGGGGTGGGAGTATGAGTGTCAGTGTAGGTGGGGGTACCGGACCTTGTTGATCAGGCCAGCTGCAGATGGGAAGAAACTTCTTATGGCTTGAGGTTTTGGTCCTGATGGACAGCAGCTTCCTGCCAGATGGAAGTGTCTCATGAAGTTGGGAGGGGTCAGCCAAAATCTAACAATAACATTTTGGCTTCACTTCACATTTCAGATATTTGGGAGGGCTTTTATTGCCTTTAATTGATAGTGACAGCTGAAGACTGGCAGGGAGGGGGGAGAGAAAAAGAGAGGATGCCAGCACAGGTCAGCGCCGAACTGATGGCCGCTGCAGCAAGGACTCTACCAGGTGAGCTACCAGGCTGCCCCACATTTCAGATCTTTGAACTCCTCATTCTGCCCCAAGACCCCTCAGATCTGACAACCAAAAGTTCCAGGGGCCAGATGACAATCTTGCTTTAGCTCCAACACTCAGTATTACACTTTAAAAAGCTTTTAAAAACCCTCATGCTTAGACTAGCATTTTTATTTATTTATTTTTTTTACATATAACTTGTACTCCAATTGTTTTATATTCTTTTCATATTTAGTTTTATTTCACTTATGTTTGGCCACTCCTTGAAATCCTCGTTGTATTTAAGGTACTGTATGCTATAGAAATACAGCTGCTTCTAATAACATCTGCCCTGCTGAGGTACCTTTGAGCAAAGAAGAGAACCCCTATTTTAAAATGTCCTTAAGCAGGTCTCTGATCAGCTCCCAGCACTGGGGATGCTGCTGCACATGTGATCCCGACCTGTGACCCCAGAGACAGAGGGATCACACTTTGAGCCCCGCTGGCTGCTATACTCAGAGCAACCTGCAGGTGTCGTCAAAGCTTCATCGGCAGCCCGGCTGTCAGCAGCATGTAGTGTACAGTGGGGCAGCTGGGCTTTATTTTGCTTCCCAGACTGGAAACCACTGTAGTGCAGTTGGACTTGACGTCTAGCAACACAACATCACAGACTTTAAACAGGCAGACACGGCGACTTAGCACGTTAGCGACTGCATTTACAGGTAGGAAGCCCGCGACATTTCCCCAGTTATTTCTGTACACTGGTGTGTTTTGAATGCATAACGCTGTGGTCGTAGGCGGCTGGAGGAATGTTGCTTGTGCTAGCTGCTGTGGCTAACCGCTAGCCCGGCTGTCCGGTGTGGGGTCTGACTTTGGGCCACACGGTGGAAGTTGCTGTTTAGCTCTTTGAGTTGGAGCCGCTTTCCGAGCTGCGCCAGACAGCAGAGCTAAGCTAACACGGCTAAGATAGCGGCGAGCAGGCTGGCCGGCTCCATCCATCCGCCGGGGCCACAGCACCAGTCCGCTGTGTCTCCGTCCCTGTGGGGAGACGCTGCCTGTCACACCGGCCGTGACCTCCGTGGTACCTATAACATGTGTCCCCCCGAGGAGAGACAGGCTGCCTTTTCTCTCTCTGCCTGGTGTGTCTTTAGCCTGTTTGATTTGATGAACAAGCTAGCTGGGAAGCTAGATTAGAAACGTAAAACCCCGAGCTGTCACTCATGTTCCAGGCCAGGGGTTAACCCAACTTTCTGTGCGTACCATGAGGGGGTGTCACCAAGTATCCTCCTCTGGGGTGAGCTGGTACAGCCTGTGTGTCACTGTGGGGTGAGGAGGGGTGAGGAGGACCACAGTGGGGCTGTTCATCCACACACATCCTCTCACCGTGCTCAGTTAAAAAGTGATCCTTATTTTGGGAATGCCATAAAGCCCCACACCTCCCACACTGCACATTGCCCTCCCTGTCCAGGGTTGAAGAAAACATGGAGGGAGATCATCTTCATCTTTTAAGACTGAGATGACGATGAGAGTTAAACTAATGCATCTGACACTTATATCGCAGTTCATCTGGGCTGCTGTGTCCTTTCTAAAGCATACACCCCCTTCATATCTATGTCATTCTCCTTTTGTTGCAGAGGTTCTCTGGATACAGTTACAATTTACTGATGCCAGTGTGCAGACCCATGAAGCAAAGTTTCTGACAGTGCTATAAAAGCATGGATCTATATGTGACACTGCACAGTACAGAGCCCTGGTCTCTCTGCTGTATAGCAGCCCACTGATCGGGTTTACATTAATTCGATTTCCGAGCTCTGTTCTCGGGTTCTCTGCGTGCGCTGCATGACGGCTGGAGTTTTTATTCAGTTTGGGTCTGGCAGAGAGAATTCAAGCAGGCTCTGGGTGTGTTTTATCCCTTGCCTGGCTGGATGTTGTCCTGAAGGTTTCAGTCAGGGACCTAGAGATGAGGAACAGTTCTCCAAGCTTTGAATCATTTAGCACTGTTTGCCATTTCTGTCTGCTCTGCCTTCTCTCTGTCTCTATCCTCTCTGTTCACCTGCCTGTGACCCCCACACCCTCCCTCCCTCCCTCCCTCCTTCTCGAGCTCTGTTTTGCATCTCTCCTCCCTTTCTGTCTACACACACACTTTCTCTCATGTGCTTCACGCAAACTTTAATCCTGTGCTTTGTGGCGTCTGGATGCTTGTGGCAGAGCCATTGTCTCTCACCTGTTTCTTCTGTTGAGCTGCTGCTGTACTGGTGAGGTGTGCAGGTAAAGCTTGTTAAGTTGGGTTCAGTGAAAGGACACTTGTGGATAATGATGATGATAACGGTGCATGCGCATGTTGAAGTATGGAGACAGGTAAATACTGCCAACAAGGCATACTGTTTAAGAGTTAGAGGAATTAAAATATTAAGGGATAATGCTGGTGTTAGCTTTAAGTGCAAGTTATGTTGACCTTTTAATGCACATTGTTTCTGGTCTTTGGACAGTCTACACGCTGCAATTTATTTTTGTACAGCATAAAAAACACAAGACTTTATATAAGTTCCCTCAGCTTGATAATTCATTATAGTAAAATCTAATCTTTATTTTATTATAATGGAACAGAGAATGGTTTCTAATTGTTTCTTTATGCTGATTTGGAAATAAATCAGTTAACACAATGTTAATATGTTGTTAGCAAACTTGGTTTCATATCTTACATTTTTATCGATAGTATTAAATATTCATGACTGACTGAGTTAAATGTTGCCAAACTCTGATTAGTGCAAGGACGTGTGTGACTGTGACTGTTTTATCCGACTTAAATATGTGAATATTTAAATTGGAAAAAAGGTTTTGTTCATGAACCTCATCGCTCATAGTTTGCTAACATGTCTTCATTGTCTTTACGGTGTGTCAGTCACACAACAAACACAATCTAATGTCGTATTTGTGCGCATTTACGTTAAAGCCGCTATAAAAGAATACATTAGTGTAGTTTAAAATTAGCTATTGAGACCACAAACTTCTGTAATGTTTGGTGAGGGTCCCTGTTTTGCGATAAACATTCCTGCCACCAGTTTCATGCTGTTCCACTGATTGACAGTAGGTGGCAGTGATGTGCCAGGTAAGGAAGGGAAGGAGAAGAGTAGAATCTAGTAAACACTGATTAAAGGATTTACAGTATTCAAAACATTGCAGATTCAGTTTTATGAGAAAGGAAATTGCACTCAACATGTTTGTTAGGCCTCAAGGACCCACACAACGTGATTTGGTACCAGCAAATGTAAACATAACTTTGTTTACTAAAAAAAAGAACAAAACTCCACAGTGTATAGCAAGAAGTTGAGTTGTGGTTTATTGTATTTATTGTCGTTTATGTGGTTTGTATGAGATGTGTCGGAGCATGCTCAGAGATTACAGTTGGCACTTTTACAGACCTTATTGTTACATCAACGTCTACTGGGGTTGAAAAATCACATATTAATAGATGTTCAATCAACAGTATGTTCATATTAGGCCTGTGCAATATGACCTGAATCTTAAATCCCAGACATAGGTCATTTCATATCTAGATAACGATACATATCATGATATAGCACTATATTTTCTGTAACTTCAGTTATTGCGATACACGATATTATCACGATAATCATGATCATACTTCACTTGAAATGGTACTAAAACATACTAAAATCACTTTAACCTTACATTTCATATATATTTATTGTATCACAGATAGGCACCACATCTCCTGTTCTTTATTTTGGAATCTGTACTATTTCCACACATCCAGTTGAACCTTTTATTTTCCGAATGAAGCTGAGCCTTCAGCCAGGGTGGCGGGATTAGGATTTTGGAGTAACTGTGAAGATGTGGGTTCCACTGTCTCCTTGTTCAAAATAAGTCTATCAATATAGGACTGTATGCCGGCGAGCTGGACAGCTTTTTCAAGTCAAGCCATGTGAGGATGTTTATGATCACCATGATGGAAATTCAGTGTTTTTTTATCGCGATACACGATAATATCGGGTGTCATCCTATCCCTAGCTGTAAAGAGCGTGATTTGTAGCACAACAGAATAGACAATAGAGATTAATATGAAACTATTGACATTTTTCTATCGTCTTATCGCACGTACAGCCCTAGTTCGTGTCATCATGATCCTGCAGAAAGACAGTTAATAATAATACTGAATTTACGCCCCGTCTAAAGCAGGAAAACAGTTGCTGACAATCTCAGCTCAAGGTCCAATTACTCACTTTTGGATTTGTCTTTTGACCTTAAATAACAACAGCATATAATTCTAAACAGTATTTATGTTACATTAAATTAAAGGTCCAGTGTGTAACATTTAGGAGGACCTACTGTCAGAAATAGAATAGAATATTCATAGGTATTAAATGAACTATGAACACTTTATTAGTGTCTAATCTCCTGAAAATGAGAATCATTGTGTTTGTGTTATCTACAGAGGGAGCGGGTCCTCTTCTACAGAGTCCGCAGTGTTGAAACACCATATTTCTACAGTAGCCCAGAGCAGACAAACCAAACACTGGCTCATGTTTTTTAAAGACTTTAGTTTCTCCTACACACTTGGAAGGTTGAGCTGTATTTAAGTGGCTGCAATCTGCAACTTCACCACTAGATGACACTGAATCCTACACGTCGGTCCTTTAAATCTTTAACTTAACTACAAAAATGTAAATGTAACTTAATTTTTTTAGCTCCACTCCCAGTAAGTCTCTAAGAATAACAAAATCATGTTGTTCCAATGAATATTACACTGTAACTTCTAGGATTCACAACTGGTTATAGTTTCCCACAGATAAAAATCGAATGTAAGCAGGAAGCCAAATTCCAGTGGTCAGTAGAGACACTGCTGAAATGTATTCGGATGCCAACTGTTGACTGCAATCTGTTGGATCTAAACAGACTAAGTAGATACTCAGGGCTGAACTAACATGTTAGGGGACCTTGGGACAAAAATGAGCCTCTTACTCCCATTCCTCTGTGGTAGTACAGAGCCCTTATTTTGAAGTACTGTCCTGCCCAAGTTTTCGGTGTCAGGTAGTTTGGGGTAATTTACTTATATACTTTAACATCTAATAAGCGCAATAGAAACTAAAACAGAGGTTTTAAACTAGATTTTGACAAGTAGCTCTGCTAGACGGGGCCTCAAGTTGAGGTAAAAATGCAGGACTTACAAATCACAATTGTTAAAATTTCCATGAAATCAAACCCAGTTTTTGATACTTTGCCATTTTCATTGCAAAAGCAATTTAAAGTATTTCAATTCCATAATTATCTCTCTCTATAGTAGTTCAATGACAGTGGTGGAGTCTGCCATTCCTGCACTAGATTCACGTAGCCTTCACATTATTCACAGGGATTATCAAGGAACAATGCAGCATGTAATCCAGTGTTATAGTAATTTTATCTCACTGTTAGCAGCCAAGCTGTTTTCTGTTCACTCTCTTTACACCACATGTATGCTAAAGCTAAAGAGAACAAAACATTCCACTGCAGCTGTATTATACTAGGAACGTTCAACTGGCAAAACACAAGGTGACTTTTATTAAGGAAACACAATGTATTTGTCACTGATGTTAGCGCTGACAAAAAACAAGTCAACAAAATAAAATAACATTTTTAGTCAGTCGCTCAGTTTTAAATATTTCTAGGAGTATTGGCAGAGAGGAGCAGCCACAGCTGGTATACCATGTCCTACTGAATGAGGACTGAGTCAGCATCAATCAGTCTGATTGCATTGTTTTCTATTATAATGTCCTAACTGGCCAGCGCAGCAAGTGTTTATAATCCTGTCACTTGTATTGAAAAGGCTGAATCATCGACACTGATGAAGTTGAAATGAGGAATTATCAATATTAAACCTCCTCTCCTCATTTAACTACAAAAACCTAAATAAGGTGGCAGCATGCTGGAGGGAGATAGCCAGGGAGGTAAACATTTTTTGGAGTAGTTGGAGTAGCCTCATCAAGGAAGTTCCCGTTTACTTGAGTGGCACTGGTTGCATATTTAAAAGATTTGGTGTAGACAGAGAACATCCGATTTTATGCAATGCAGAGTGATAGTTGGGCACTCGCATGCTGTCATGGCATGTGTCCACAGGGGACGCTTTTGGGCGCAAGGGGTTGCGCCACTTCCCAGCATTGGACGCTTGTAGCCATATTGACCAACAAAAGGCAACACCCTTCTATACCCACTGTACGACCTAACACTTTATTGCTGCACCTGATTGGATGAATGATGCTGCTTAGGGATTTCAAACTGGACCAACATGGAAGCTCGTCTAGAAATTCTCTCTTATATTACAAAAACAGTTTCAGGTTGTTATCACCACTCCTTTAAAATACACACAAAATAGCTATAGGTAACAAGCATCCAAACACTTGACAATGCACAACTACATACCTGCACTATGGCCACAAATCCATCTGAGAATGTTCCTCTGAGGATGGCATTACGGGTTGTACCAACTAATAGCTCCTCTCCATCCACATCTGCAATGGTACGGACTGCGCCATATTTTTCTGGAATCTGGACAAACATTCACATTAATCAACAGGCCTCTCCCTCTTATTTGAATGCAACTTCACAGAGCCCTCCACCAACAGCATTGCACACACATACAGCTGTGGTTCACCTCACACTCTCTTTCAGGTGCCAGATCGGCGCTCCAGCGGATGATCTTACGGTCTTTCCCTCCCCCGCTGAGCAGGGCGCCGCCCTGAAGGGTGCACAGGGTGAACACGCTGCCCTCATGGGCCCTGGTCTGTCGCATGATCTGGAAGGTCTCTGTAGGATATGGAAGAAAATTAAGTTGGTTTATCAGTGAGTATGGAGGCAGATGAGGGCCAACATTATTGGCAATTTGAATAAAGAAAACTGTAAATGAAAAGCAAAAAAACTGAAACAGAAAATGTAAGTATCAACCAATTAATGACAATGTAACTAAATCATATTAATTCCTGAAATTTGAGTAAATAATTGTTTATTTTATAACTTCTTCTAGGCAAATATCATATTTTTCTTCATCTGAGATTCAGTCTTCTTCGAACGTGGCGGATCAGCAGTAGATCGGCAGACAAGCAACTGAACAAAAAAATATAAATAAAATATGACTGGAAAAATTAAATAAGAAAAAAACTATATTGTACATCAAAAGAATTTAAATAAATTCAGAAATAAATTACAAATGCACTTCCATATTATAGTTTTTTATATATTTTATATAATATATATTTGTATATATTATCAATATATTAATCACATTTTATTCTAGGCTTATAAGATCAATTCGTCACCTTCAAGCTTTATCTAGTTTTGTTATTCAAACTGACAAGATAATTAACCCCGATTTGTCTCCACACAGCGAAGCTCCTTATTGGCATTGGATTTGATATATTGATCTACCTTTGGCTCCTTTTCCCAGCGTTTTTACATCTGCAGCTGATTTCCCCCAGGTCAGGATGTTTCCTTCAGAGTCTCCAGTCAGAACATCTCCAGTCAGACTGAACACAAAGCACTGGATGAATTTGGGCTTCTTGTATTTCTGAAAAAACAAAACAAAAATAAAAACAGGAGATTGTTAAGAATAATAACTTGACCCATTGTTAGTATAGGTTTAAAAATAAATATTTGCTTTACTAGTGATAATAACATATTTCAAATCTACGTTTGTGAGTCCACTTTAAATCAGATTTACACCTCAGATTAGTCCAGATTGTTAATTTCTCTTTTAGACTCTTCTGAATCAATATGGTCTAAATTTTCACTTCTTTGTTTATACATCTTACTTCCCTCTTTGGCCTCAAACTGAGGAAGTTGCAAACTTCACTTTGTATTACTTACTAATACACAGACAATACAGGAACTGAAGTCAATTAAAGGAAGCAGACAACTGGCAACATATTGTTTTTGCAGTCAGGATAAACTGGCATTAAGTGTGTCTTACTCCAAAGATGCCTTGTTTCTTGGTAAACTGTCCCGTGCTGAGCGTCCAGAAGTAGACGTGGGATTTCCCACAGGTGATGATGTTGGTGCTGTCGCTGGGGTTAAACTCCACAGTGAACACAGCCTCATTGGTACTCTGAAAATACAGTGATACACACAAACACATCTTTAGCACAATTACAATATCAAAGCTGCAGTCATATATGCTGACACTTATACTATATCCTGACAGTAGTACATGAGACAGATAATCTGTGAAAAAAATCAGGTTCCTCTTAGTGCCCCTAATGGTATTTGCAGCAATCCACCAGACCTGAACGAAAACAACCAATCAGAGCCTAGAAAGATAGCTGATTGTTGAGTCTCATTCCTATATTACTATAGCTGCACTAATCAATATGTAGAACCAATGTATCAAATGACTATGTGTAATGTGAAAGAGGTCACTTAAATTAACAAACCCACAAAGAATTATCTTACAACCCTGCAGTTCCGCTAAGCTCAGTTGAAAAGTTCTGATAAACCGGGTGCCCACTACCTGTTCAGGACCAAACAACAAAGTGAAACATGTTAGTCGGAAAAACGTGATAGTGTGATAATATATTAGATGTGTTTTCAGCTTCTTCCACTACCCAGAAGTGATTAAAAAAAAACATAAATCAAGATTGGTAGCTATTAAGCTGCAAGTCAAATTTGTGCAAGAACCCAAAAGAGAACTTTGAAGGATTTTTTTCTTGAGAGTTTTTTTGCCACCAGGCACAGACACACAAACACAGTCCCAGTGGCAGGTCTTCAGTGACCATGTGTACAGTATGTACAGAAAGTACAGAAGCATCATTTCTACACAAAAAGCTCCATTCATGGCGGTGCTGTAAAGTGGCATATGGACTATTCCACTGCTGTGGAGAGGGTAGGGGGGTATAATTATCTTGTTCCTGTTGGATGAACTCGTATGTTTATACAGTGTGGGGCAGTGTTGGCCTGTCTACACTGAACCGTGTACGCTGGACGCTACGTTACACTAAACATAAGTTCTTGCGCAAGCCCATTAAATTCTTGACTTAAGATGATATACAAGTTCAAACACCCACCTATGCATTCCCACTGCAGCATTAGAGAACACACACATACACACACACGGACAAATTCACTGTATAAAATATTTACACTGTTGCCATGACAGCCGTGCTGAAACTGCTCTCAGGGAAGTTGAGGCGTTTTGGGATAAGAGCCCATAAAAGCAGAGCAGAGACACCGCCATCTTTCTCCCCCTTAATCTCTCCAAACAGACCTCCTTTATAAAAAGCATCAACACATTGAGCATGCAGCCACACTGGGCATCTGGCTGCAGAACAGCCTATCTGTCACAGTGCTACATTACTGCAGCCTGGCTCATTCTCATGCTTTAACTTCAGTTGAAGGATTGCATTGTTTCAGTGTGGGTTACAAAGCCCTATAGTGACGGATCATTTTGTAAATGTCAGATAACATAAACCCTTCTCAAATTGTAAAAAACACGTCACCCTTAAGCAGTCAGAACTGTAATAAAACCTGTTAAACCACATTTTGGGGAGAAAAGGGTGCTTTGTTGCTCATTCTCAGATGATTAATAATGTAATTTCCCCTCTGTGGGACTAATAAAGGCTTATCTTATCTTATCTTATCTTATGAGACATACAATACCAGTTTAATATCTTTGTGTCTAGTATGGAGATATAGTCTAAGGGTGATGAGGCAGCCTAC